CCATTAATTTCCATAATTCCCATTATTTCCATGGAAAGTTTCCAATATGGAATATTTCCAAAATTCCCAAGCTTAACTTACCATGGAAATTTACCGGAAACTTTCCGGAAATTTACCGGAAATTTTCCGCCCCTTTGCAACCCTAGGTAGCAATAATTTGACCGTTGAAAACTAGCTAGGTTCACGCTTTGCTAGATAGCTAACCACTCCTCAAGGTATACAGTAAAAAAGCAATCTTAGTATTTTTAAGCACTGAAGGATAGGCTACGGGTAGAAGGATAAACTAGGAAATCAGCAACTTACATACAGATTAGAAAATGCAGTTGGGAGGGGGGTAAAACTGCTCCAATCTGCTTAGCTACGAAACGAAACATCCGCTACGGCCGCCATCTTGGCCACCCCCCGCTCGGCCCAGGAGGGCCAGGATCGCAGCTTCGCAGTCAGCGGAGCCGCGCTCGGTGACGCATCTGCATCTAAGGGGCGCTTATTTCTTACGTCATTTTCAAGCGTCAGTTTCTAAAGGGGATCGAAAATAGTCATTTCACACGAGAAACCAAAACGTAAGGTAAATTGTATGGTTTGGTTGAAATTTACAGTATCAATTAAAATCTCATAGAAGAATATTTAGAGAAACAGAGATGTGATTTCTAAAATATTTACTTTTTTATGTTTTCGGGTCCTGTTAGTGTGTGCCGGGTAGCATTAGCATAGTAAACGGAAAAGTGTTTAGTTAATTTGCTAGCCCCTTGTATCTTCGCTAAGTTTAAGATCTATAAAGGGTGAAAACTGGCAATCATTTGCAATATTTAGCGTAAAAAAATTAGAACGAACCTGTTGCCGGTGTATAAATTTAATTTAATTATGCAACATTTAGTTGATGCGTGGGTTTTAAATGATATTTTTTTTCAGCAATTACTATGCATTTTCTAGTCATCTTACTTAATGTTATTACATGATCTTCCCAACAAGTTGTCAGACCAGTAAGAGTGTTATTTAGTTCTTAATTAACATAGTGTATTTCTAAATTGGTTGGAAAATGTCGTTCTTGTTATTCTGTTATTTTAAAACAGTAAGGTATTTAAGACCGTTCGTGTCTGTGTGACGCTCTTAACTATGATTTTTCACTGTATTTTTAAGAAGAGAAACATCACTAACAGCAATTACCTAGCTTGCGTGATACATTTTCAGTTGCTCTTGTAAATATTGGTCGTAATCATAAATGAGCATCTGAGCATTTTAAAAGATGGATTGTCTATGCACAGTCAAAACATTGCATTGCAGACTTGAATTTCAGGCAAATATAAGTAAAAGTAAAATTTGTGCCAAACTCTTATTAATGGCAGACTCCCACAAACAAACAAATAATTCATTTTGACTTTCTTAATCTTTGTAGACTAATACTTAGTATGGAACAAAAGCTGAATATATTTCCTTTCATTAAAATGCAATCCAGATTAAACACAAATTCAATTCAGTATCAGAAAACAATGTCTGTTCTTGTTTAAGGTACAGTACAGAGTTGTAGGAGCAATGGCAGTGAAGTCAGGAGAGGAGCGACTAAAGGAAATGGAGGCTGAAATGGCACTGTGAGTGAAAACTGCATACTAGGCACTCCTGCATTTTATGCAGATCTTTTTTTTTTGCGCCTGTTCTCCAGTACCAGATCTAGTTTGATAGACTGATGTACCTCTGGATGTTTATGGGATTACTGAAGTAAATGAGAATTGAAAAAAATGTCATATTTCTTATGTGGGCAAGGGTCTTATCATTAGCCCTATGGTGATGTGATCTGAGTGGACTGGGTAGTTGTTCTTTCTCATCCTCAGATTTGAACAGGAAGTACTGGGTGGTCCAGTGCCTGTTCCTGGTGGCAGCCCAGCAGTGGTAGAGGCTGTGTCCGTCGCCCTTGCTGTGCCTGCCGTGCCCGTTGTCCGACCCATCATTGGGACCAACACTTACCAGCAGGTGTGCACATACACATAGCTGGACTTCTACCAATAGACACCTGGCTTCCTTTCTCTATACTCAGGCAGGGAAGGTGTAGTGTTTTGAGAACTTAGGGCTTTGAGTTACTGATTTGGCACTCATATTGTATTGTTGAGGTAGTACTGAACTTGATTATTTAGAAAATAACTATAAAGTAAGTTTAAAATACATAGATGTTTAAGCATATTTCTTTAACGCTCAACTGAGCAGCATTCACATTTTTTTATTTTTTTTTCTAGTATTTGTTGTGGATTTTCTTTTCCCCTTTTCATTTTAAGTTTCATATGGATCTTTTCAGGTACAACAGAGTCTAGAGGCGAGGGCTGCCTTTGTGGGAACCCCACCCCCAGCCTTTGTTGGGCCAGGTAAAAATGTGCTGTAATTATTGATAATGAGTAGTAATAAAAAACCTTGTTTTGCATTCAAAGCTATATAAGGGATCACCGTGTTAACCACCATGTGCAAAACAGTTCACAGTTCAGCATATACACACACACAGTGTGTGTGCTCAAAACAAAAAATAAAATTATCAGAACATATGAAAATTAAGAATAACATGACAGACAGAGAACATTTTTCTCCATTCTCCAAAAATTTGATCATTGTTGGATGGCTCAGTTCCCAAACTTCTTCAAAGGCACCCCAGCCATTCCATTTATTTGTTACAATTCACATTTATCAATTTAATTAGTTAATAATGCATTTGAGCATCATTTTCTTAGACTGTCTGACTTTTGCACAGTACTGTAGGTCTTGAAATTATATGGTCCCCTATCTAAAACAGTTATGTTTTATTAAAGACAGGTTTACAAAGGCAGATGCATGAAATGTGATGCTTCTGTGAGATGAGACGTAGGAGATGCTTACCATGGGGTATGCTAGGTTGCTGTCAGTGGTTGGGCATTCTCAAGTTATGTCATAGTGTCAGCAGGCATATCAGTGCCTCTGTTGAATGTTTAATGGATTTCTCGCTCTTATTCTCCAGCTGTTCCTCCAGTCAGGCCTTCTCCAATGCGACCTGCATTTGTTCCACACATACTGCAAAGGGCAGGTATCTGGCATTTAAAATAATATATTTGACTGTCTGAAAATACAACAAACCATTAAGGATTTTCCTGAATTATTTGTTTTGCATTTTATTTTGGAGGAAAATTTTTTTTTTTTTTTGCTTGTGTGATATTTTTTTGAAGGTAGTCAAAAATTGCCCATGATGCGTGGACCTCCTCCCCAGGCTATGATGGCTCCGCCTTTACCCAGGCCACCTCCACCTCCCCCTATGATGATGGCTCCCCCCATGCCTGGCCCCCCTCAGCATCACATGGGTCCTATGGGACCAATGGGACACATGGGCCCAATGCCATCGGTTAGTATCAGGGGGAGGTAAATGGCATGAAACATCCTCAGAATTGTTCTTCTTTGTGTTCATGTGTTCATCTTCTTTCTCCTACCGTTTACTTTTATAACTCTTTTCATTGCATCTCACCTTACTTTGAGTGCATGTTTTTCCTTCTATCCCCTCAATCTCCTTTTGTTAATGCTCTTGTCTACAGGTTGGAGGCATGAATCCAATGGTGTCTGTTCCACCACGTCCTGTAGTCCAGGCCCCTCCCAAACTAACACCCACAGTTATCCAGGCTGCCCCAACTGTCTACACAGCTCCTCCAGCACCCAAGAAACCTGACCTTCGCGCTCAGAGACAAGCGCGCATGGTAATTACAGCCACAGACTCACTCACGCACTTCCTAATGTGCATATATTCTTTCTCTTGAAAACATCAGGATGGTTTGTATCTGCAGTGTCAGTAGTCAAGACAGAGCATCATGTCTGTAACTGAGTCATTTATACAAGTCTTGTTTTTAGCTTAAAGCATGCTGTTCACATCATCAGTTAGCTTGTTTTACTGAACCCATATGCTGAGTTTTCTTTATGCACCAGCTTCTGCCTCTCACTTGCTCTACTTCACACTTGCTTCATCTCTTAGGAGGAGTTGGCAGCTTCAGTGGCAGAGCAGCAGGCAGCAGTAGTAGCAGCTGGTCTCCTAGAGGCGAAGAAGGAGTGCTCCACCACAGACGAGGCTGTCATTGGCCCCAGTATGCCGGAGCCTGAGCCCATCCACACTGAGGTTTGCATGCACTTTACCTTTAAAGGAGAAATGCTTTCCCAGACACTGTACTTTTTATTGTTTATTTTGTTATATTTAGTGACATTTCCATATACGCTGCTCAAAAAAATTAAAGGAATACTTTGAAAACACATCAGATTTCAATGGGAAAAAAATCATGCTGGATATCTATCTGTACTGGATAATGTGTTAGGGATGAAAGAATGCCACATCTTTTGATGGAAATGAAAAGGCTAGTCTATTTGGCAAAAATTTCATTGCAGCAATTCAAAATCGTACTGAGTAATTTGTATGGCGCCCACGTGCTTGTATGCATGCCTAACAATGTCGAGGCATCCTCCTAATGAGACTACGGATAGTGTCCTGCATAACATAACATTCTCCACAGCTTCTCCAGACCCGTTCAGGTCTGTCACATGTGCTCAGGGTGAACCTGCTCTCATCTATGAAAAGCACAGGGTGCCAGTGGCAGACTGGCCAGTTCTGGTATTCTATGGCAAATGCCAATCGAGCTCCATGGTGCAGGGCAGTGAGCACAGGGCCCACTAGAGGACGTCAGGCCCTCAGGCCACCCTCATGAAGTCTTTCTGAGTCATTCAGAGACATTCACACCAGTGGCCTGCTGAAGGTCATTTTGTAGGGTTCTGGCAGTGCTCATCCTGTTCCTCCTTGCACAAAGGAACAGATACCAGCGGTGATACTGACCGTAGCCAAATGCAAAAGTGGGGAAAATTATTAGTGGCCTCCGCCTGTTAAACCATTCCTGTTTTAGGGGTCGTCTTATTGTTGCCCCAGTATGGGCACCTGTTGTTAATTTCATTAACACTAAAGCAGCTGAAACTGATTAACAACCTCCTCTGCTACTTAACTGACAAGATCAATATCCCAGAAGTTTAATTGACTTGATGCTATACTCTGATTAAAAAAAATGATCCTTTAATTTTTTGAGCAGTGTAGTAACCCTTATAGATTACATTGACAGGCTTGTTAACAGGAGTTTTTATGCTGGATATTTGCAAAGATCTTTGTATTTGTTTGTGGCAGTACTGGACAAATCACTGAATTACCAAGAATATTTGTTTTATCAAATAAGCATTTCCACTGTTGTAAGTTTGTTTTGCATGCATGGAATTTTCTTGTTCTTGTTGTCTGCATGGGGGTCATTCCATATCAAATCACCCCAAGGGTCACCCTCCTGGCAATTCTGAAACTGTGAACTATGAAATATTTATGTGTTGGTTGAATCTATATGGCAACAAATATACAGCTCATATTTAAAAAATCATAACTCGAAAAGGAAGCTCAACAACATCATCAAAGTTTTGTCAGATCATCTTTAGATATATCAGCAAACATGGTAAAAATTGGAAAATCATAGTTAACTGCCCTCATGGTCAAATGAGGATATGAAAATAGGCAATCCTGAAAATTGAGCACATTTCAAAAACTTACTCTGACACTTCTGTATCAGTACTGCATATGGTTACTGCATACACATGGCCTAATATGTGATAAATGGCAGGAAAAAAACTTTATCTAGCATTCTGTTTCTGTTTAAATTCTACAGAAAAAGTTAATAAACCATAAAGTTTCACAGCAATATATGCCACATCAAAGGCGCTATGAATGTCAGAGTCTCCAACCGTATAGAATTACAATTTCAAAGGGCTGTAGTTTCACAACTATTAGAGATACAGACCTAATATTTGGAATTTCTCTTTGAGTTTGGTATAGGAGCACCTGTGACTTTTTTTCAGGGGAATCTGAGAGGGCGAGCTGGGAATTTTTTCCCCCAAACTGGGTGTTTTGATATGGGTTACCTCCCATCCAGGGATATATGGTCATAAGTCAGGACACTTTGTGCCTCTAGATTGTCCATAGTGGTGTGTGTGAGTGTGTTTGTATGCATGTGCTCAGCAATGGACTCACAGGCCGTGCAGTGTTTGATGCCTTGTCCTACCTGCTATAGGCGCTGGGCTTGCTGTGAACCGCACTACATGAGCAGTTATAGGAAATGATGGCATACATTTGTCATTTGTTTCTCTTCTCACATGACTCATCATAAGCACATTGGGGAGGAGGTCCAAGTTCCAAGTTGAGATTAACTTGTAATGTTTCAATCCAGCCAGCAGATGGTAGTGCTGAGGAAAAAAAGAAGGGAAAGCAGGAAAAGGTTAAGAAGTGCATTCGCACAGCAGCTGGGAGCTGCTGGGAAGATCAAAGCCTACTGGAATGGGACACAGGTACCACACCAGCCATCAATATAAATTCTGCTTAAAATGAGCTGATTTTAACCCTGCTGCTCAGTGCAGATACTGTGTCCTGGTATATGTACTGAGCAGGTCCTTGCAAGGGAAATATTGCAGTTCCAACTTCACTGTTTCCAGTTTTGTTTTATAAATATTTGCATCACCTTTCCCTCGATCAGTTTACAAAAGACACAGAACTCTTTCATGTCAGATGATTTCAGGATCTTCTGTGGAGACCTGGGCAATGAGGTTAACGATGACATCTTGGTGCGGGCCTTCAGCCGCTACCCATCCTTCCTGAAGGCAAAGGTGGTGCGGGACAAGCGCACAGGCAAGACCAAGGGCTATGGCTTTGTTAGCTTCAAGGACCCCAACGACTATGTACGCGCAATGAGGGAGATGAATGGTGAGGAGGTTTTTCTGGGTCTTTCTTTCCTTCGCTTATTATTAGTTTGCTGCTATATTAATGAGCCTTTATGTAAGATGGTGTTTTTGAATTTCCCACTGATTTTTTGCTTGATTGTTTCATGTACACGCAGTCCTTGGGTTAAGAACGTCCACTTTACGGACAACTTGTACTTGGGAACAGACTACCATAATGGAATGGATCTCGTTCGTGACCTGCGGACTGCCTGTACTGTACTTTAACCCTCACTTCTCCAGGGATGCAAACTTGTCACCTTTTGGCCAAATTCACCATTCGCCAAACTGAAATAGGTCATTTTGTGAATGTTGTTGATCCAATGAGTTTTTAAACTGTTGGGGGGTCTGTGAGGACGGAGTCATGGGTAGAGGTGCACCAATGCCATTATTTAGATCGGTATAGAGAGCAATCCATACCTAATTAGACGGATCGGGTATCAGCCGTATGTGACCGATCCACGTCTGATACTTTAGTTTTCGGCAGTCTGTAACAAGATAGCTCCTGTTTCATGGTAAATCGATTTGTACATCATCTCTGACAACGCTGCCGCTCAGTCTATTTGGGACTTATTGGGTTTGAGCACAGTGGCTTCTGCCTGCTGTGATGACATGTCTTATTTTATTCTATTTTGTATAACTCATATTCACATTACATGTGCATACTCTTTGCAATAGGAAGAGAACATCTGATAAACGGGTGATGTTAGTATTTTATGCTTGAAACAACTAGTAGCACAGCTATTTGCAATGTTTGTAAAAACAAATTTTTGACAGGTGGACTTAGTGTTTAGTAAAAAATCCCACTACACAAAGCGCACGCAATTACACACAACATGATTAATATGTAAAAAGCAAATGGATGATTTGAGAGTCATTAGCTTGTGGCACACTAGGCTGTTTTTCCACACTTGCTATAGCTTGTGATATACAAGTAGCTGCTATCACAGTGAAGTGCATGCGTCTGATTGTATTTTCAGTATTCTTAATTCAGAAGAGATCTCTGTGGGGCAGCCTGCATGTGAGGGATGGGGCAGCGCTCTTGCTCTCTCGTGCAGTAACGGAGACCCTGCTTATGGTGATGGTGGCGTGGAGAGCTAAACGTTAAGTTGTAATTACAGTTCATTAGAGTCAATGCTAACAATGCCCAAGTAACAAGTCTTTTTGCATATATGGACAGAAACACAAGCAATTTGTCAAAACATCTAGTGATAATCCATCACATGTATTCAGAAAAATGCATAGTTTTTGACTGACTAGCCCGTAGTTTACCTGTCCTTGCCCCAGGTATATGTTTGATTGCAGCCTGAAGTGCACACATGGTGTTAACTAAATTAAACAATATGAATTAATGATTAAAAGTAACTATTAGCCAGCTGATTGTCACTAATAAATAATTGTCTTACAAAGTTATAAAAACCATATCTAAGTAGTTAACCATGATGTTTCCGTAAACATAACATTATAATGTCAGTCTCCTCTCCACAGTGAGACCTACAGCTTATTAATTAAACGGTGGTATCGGATCAGTACTCAGGATTAGCCAATACACAAAACCCAGGTATTGGTATCAGTATTGGAACTGAAAAGGTCAGATCTGTGCATCTCTAGGCATCCCTGGGGGAAGACAAAACTTCTGGCTTCAGACCGGCACTTGCAACTGCAGCGTGACTGAAGAGAGTTGAGGTTAGGGATGAAATGATTACCTGTTTCATGATAAACCATGATGAAATGCCCAATGGATAGTATTACCATCAAATTTTAATTATCAATAAAAGCATGGTTGATTGTCGTTTTGAAGTATTCACATTAAATACTGTCCAGCATTAACCAAAGGTAGCAACAGTCTCCCAGATGCTGATGCGCAGGTGAAGCATGCAACTTGGGTTTGTTTTGTGTCAGTGGAAATATGCCATAAGCCAGTTACAGCACTGCAGAGATTTTTCAGCCTGATAAGAGGAATAAGTCTGATGTGGTTGTATTTTGGTTTTCATCTTCAAGATCAGCATCCACTACTTTATAATGAATGCAAGGTAAGTTAACTTTTAGCCCAGTGCTTGACGATGGAACTTAGGAATGGGGGGAAAGGGTCACAATTTGTGTTTAACTTGCTAATAGCTTGTGGGTAACATTAACTGAAGCTTTCAGTGTTAGCTACTCTTGTTAAACACTACACTTTGCCATTTGTGTAGTGGACCTGGCACCATTTTGCTTCAGCCTCAAAGCTAGCTGAATGCTCATTTGCTGGTGATGACCAAAACTACATCCTATGAAACATTTCTGTTTTTTTGACCCCCACTAGATGATGCTCTTGGTTTGCTTTGGATTCTTTTATGAACAGAGAGCACCATCTAATGGGGTCATAAAATATGGCAAATTGAAATCCCTTAAGTTGTATTCTTGTCAACTTTTTCACCCCAATGAGTTTGCATACTTACTTCGCATTTACCATTTTCCTTCTGCTACCACTTCAACAGTGTACCATATACATACATGCATGCATGTGTGTATACATTGTTTGTTCATTTATGTTTGTTTTTCTTCCTAAGACATTAATTTGTATGTCAGAATTGTCAGTAAATTCAACTGATAAAAATAAATTCAAATATCTCCTAGAAGCAGTTTCTCCCAAGGTCAGTTAGAGGATGCTGAGCCTTATCTGTAGATCAGAAACCAAGTTCATTGCTCTGACAGATGTTTCTCCATACGCTCCTTCTCTCCAGGAAAATACGTGGGAAGTCGTCCCATTAAGCTGAGGAAAAGCATGTGGAAGGATAGGAATCTGGAGGTGGTGCGAAAGAAACAGAAAGAGAAGAAGAAACTTGGGCTCAGATAAGCTTGTTTCCTGCAGATATTGGGGTGTGTGTGTGTATGTGTGTGACTTCATTTCTAGGGTGCAGGACCAGACCTGTATCAAGTTGTTGAAAATATCTCTTCACTGACCTAATGTTACTTTTCTGTCATCTGTGACTATAGATATTAAATTCTTTTAGGATCTCCTTTGTAAAGTCATTGTGAATTTGTTCATTGATCTTCCCCTACATTTAATGAATACATTTTATGTAATCTTGACTTTTTTTTTATCTCTATGAATAAGGGTTTTTCCCCCACATTTCAAAACTTCACTCCCATAATAATGATTTGTTTGTTCTCATTTTAAAGTTTATTTTTGCATTACTGTTAATACATTCATTTGCCCTGTAATTATTTTCAGTTTGAAGAAAGCTTGGATACGTTTTACTTTATATGAGATTGGTTGCATTACCTGTTGTTAAAACGTGAAAGAAGTTACTTTTTTAAAGATCCATAGACATTGAATACTTGGCAAAATTAATAAGCCTTTTTGTTTTGCTATTTTGCATTTGAAGTTCATAGAAAGACCCCAAAAACAAGTCAATAAAACTGAATGTTTTTAATATCGTTCTTAAGAATTATCCCAAGAGTGCTTCATTTACACAGATCAATACTCTGAAAACCGGCATAGGTAATGTAAGTATTCCCACGTTCTTGGTTTTGTTAAATCCAAGATACTCATTGCATTATTATTTTAATTTGGTTTTACTGTATATGCAGGTCAGCTCTTCACTCTATAGTTTCATTTCCACATCGATAAGTACAGCTAATCCATAATAAATGTTTATTTGTTGCTGATTGGAAAACTCTCACTTAATAAATAAATACAAAAAATAGGGAGAATTTAAAACTTTGGTTATTAAGACTAACAATGATCGTAAGGAGAAAGAATCGCAAGATCTTTAAGTTTTAAAGAGAGCTCCAATATTTAGCATAGTTGGCATCCTAAAAAAATGTAGCTTAAATGAAATGTAAAAGAATCGACGCTAATTGTAAAAATCAGTATTGCGTTAGTGCTAGTGTTTTTGAAATGTTTGCTTGCGTATTTAAATAAACCCAAACAAATGCTATCGTGTAAGTTTTTAGAAGGGGATTTTTCGGGGCAAGAACATTTTCCGGTTAACGATGGTGGCTGATCTCTGGTCGAGACTACAAAGAGAAGTGAAGTCTGGACACTTCTGCAGACGAAGTGGGCTGTTCACGCAACAGTTATCGGAATTAAGACGCTATGAAACGCGGGGGTTCTGGTAAGTAATTCAAAGTGTGTCATAAAATTTCAATCAGTATGTTTTTCATTATTAAACTGTTCCTGTTGTATCAATCTATGTCGGGATTTTTAATGTGCAGATTTCATGAACTAGCTCCTTGAGAATCCTATGTTGAATGTATTATTGACCATTAGCCCATGAGCTACGATTACCGGTATCCTAGTTCTAAATCTTTTTTGCGTATAGTTTATTAGCGTGTGTGTACACACACATACACATTTTTATTCATAGATATATACACATACTCAAACGCGCGCGCGCAAACAACTGAATGTATTCGCTACGTGTCATTTTTGTCTTAACCTAACACTTGTGTATTGATGGTAGTCAGCAATAACGGCTTATCGAAGGAAAACGTAATTTAAAATAATTTGTCATACTAAAACAGTATGACATTGCAATTTTGCTAAGAACCCAGTATTGGTTTGCTATTTAGTAATTTATCTTAACACTAACGTACGTTAATATCCTGCACATATGTTCGCCACTAGCTTTACGCTACCTAAAGGGAATTGAGCAGATCTCATAATTCCCATATCCAAAGGTGAATTGCTCGACATGTATTACACTAAGAGTAACATCAGGTTCTGTACGGCAGGTTATTGTCGAAGATTTTATTTTTGTTATACATTTATAATTATTTATCTATTACGATGACGTAACTATCCAGATTCACGTTGGCACCCCCATAGAACAGTGCTAAGGTGGCGGAAAGGGTGTGAACACCTTTTTCAATGGTTTTAATTAACGATGGCAATGCGATTTTCTAACTCACATGGCGGTACGACTGGAAAGTCGATGGCTGTTCAAGTTACTCATCACTGCCCAAATGAAGGGCGAACCACACTGTTTTTTTTTTTTTTTTAGCTAAGCGTTCCCCATAACGTTTAACGTGTCTGCTTGTGGGTGTGTGTACCCAAACTATACAACCAAACCGGTACCTGTAAGTGGAGAAATCGGTCAGGGTTTACTGAGCATCTAGGTGGAAACTGAGCACACAGCCCTCCCCGTCTCATCTTTCTCCTCCCTCCCTCAGTCCCTCCCTTCGTCTTCCTAGGGTCTACAGATCAGTCCCCGTTGTTCCGATCTTGTCTTGTGCTCGTCTCGTTTTTATATTCATATGGTGTCGAATGCCGCCAGCATGTGAGAATAAAGGACACGTCGGTAGTTTATCGAAACACTGAACTCTGAAGGCGGACTAGATAATTTGATAACAAGAAATATACCGTGAAAATACTTCAAAGAATAGCTTGGATTTGAAAACGGGGTGTTCGACGATCCCCATCTCACCCCTGCAAACTGGATATCGGAATGGTGGTGAGTTTACAAAAAATGTTTCCCCCCTTTTGAAACTATATTATGACATAAAAGGAGAGAAAAACGGGAAATGCAAAATAAGGGTTTTGGTTAACTCTTTGTGGTCGAAGCCGATGATATGCTAGCCAGGCACACAAACTATGCGTAGATACGGGTGTTGCTATTAGTTACAGGCGTTACTGGGCGAGGATCCTCCGTGCGGTTAATGAAAAATCGAAGAAGCGCCGTAGCAATTCCTCGATTGTTTATTTGATGCAGAATATATATAATTGCATATTAGTTTCCCACATGTGGTGCCCCTCCCTCAAAACGCGCATACAATATGAAATGATTGTGCTGAATACGGATAGCAAATGCCGGTCTTCGTGGTTCATCGTGTCTAAGGAACCATTAAATTGCAATACTTAATGTTCACATTACCATATTAACATTTCAGTATGTGTTTCTCAATAAGCAGCAATGTCTGATTATTTCGTAAATACGTTTTTAGCTACTTACTACCGCACAGCTTTCCTTTACCAAGCGGTGTAGCGTGGCGTTATATGAGAAACAGTGTTTGTTGTGATGGTGGTTGTTTTAAGTGGTGGAAATGGTGCCGATTATATTAATGTCTGGGAACAGGTGCTGCTTTAGTTTCCAGCCGCCCATTCTTTACCGCCTTGTATTTAATTTCCTCGTTTAACTTTTTATAATTGTATCCATGTTGCATGAAAAAAACACGAATCTGTATATCTACTTTGATGTCTGGTATTGATGTAATTATATTACACGCGATGGATTTTATATCGTAATATATGAGAAATAACTAAGAAAAAATCAATAACCTGGATGCGTTTCTGTAGGTGTGAAACCCTTATAATGCAGTTATGTACTAACGTGATCAATTTTATCTCACAGTAATTTCACCATAAGTAACAGTTCTGTTCTCAGAAGCATAGGATTCTAATATTTTATATCAAATGTGTTCATCAGTGAAGTGTTGCATTTATTGGTTTAGATACTCAGGCTTTATTGATAGTATGAATAGGTCGCTGCTTCAGAGTTCAAGGTGGCCCCGATTGTGTAGTTTTGCAAGGTCTTCCATCTTGTGTAGTTTAACAGCTGCATTCAAAATACATACTGTTTTGGTGAATCATTAATTGTCTTTAGTGTATTTCTGTGGAGGTAATTTAAAAGGCCAAACTAGAATTTCACATTCAGATATTTATTTTGATGGTCACAGATTGAAATAATAACTAGAGACTATTTCTCATTTCAAGGAAATCCAAGCAGTGAGTTTTGTTCTGCTCGCATTTCAGCCTATTTATACTATTTCTGATTAATAAGGGTTTATTTATACCATTGTATAAAACTTATAAGGTCATTATTATTCTACTTCTTATTTGACCGGCAATTTCACATTTTTTTAATGATTCCACTGACAATTGTTTTGCAGCCTATTTCTAAACTGCTTAGTTATTTACCAACTGTTTACATACATAGAATAAGGAACCTGCCCCCCAAGCAAATAAATATAAATAACTTAGTAGATGAGTTTCACATTACTTGCTGTGTGTTCGTGTAATATGTTACCTAGTAGACCTTTCAGCATGTAGACACTTAGTCTATTTTCTGAATGCATAATCAGGTGAAATAAAAACCGTCATTTAAAGGGAGGATTGCTTATTTTAATTCTCCATGACCCTCAGTCAATGTTCTGAAAGTAATATTTTGTGGAAAAAAAGTAGAAATTAGTTAGTTTTTGAAAGTGATTATAGCTTTCAGCCTTAGAGGCAAAAAAGAATTGCTGCCTTCTACTTTCTTTATGGGGTTTTGATTCTTTGTTAGTAAGAATATTATGGACATGGTGCAGGTGCATGCCTGTGGGTAAGCGAGGTGTTTCATTATTGACCCAGAATCAGTGCCAGCAATTGCATTTGAATGTGTGACCTGATAGACCACAGCAGCTTAGCAGACTCACACCATCTCTTGTATGGACAGAAATAAGTAACTGCATTACTTTTCCTGCATCTATGTTTACTTTAATTTGGTAGTCATTAAAGAAAGAAAGAAGTTAATATAATTATTTTGCCTTGAGTCTAGGAAAGGCCTCCTTGTCATAGTTAGCCAGAGTGCAGTTTGAAATCACTTTAACTCTGAAATGCTTATTGTGGATTTAATTCATCAATAATCCAAATGTCGTGAACCTCTGAAATAATTCAGGTCCTTAAGGGTTTGTTCCTATCTGTGCCACATATTCTTAACTAAATGATACAATGCCTAAGTAGGAAATAAAATTTATGAGAAAAGTGTTGATGTTGAAAATCCATCAATCTATTCCTGTCACGTTTTTTCTCATTTGCTTGCTCGTTTTCTTTGTTCTCCTTTTTAAAAATAGCAACATTCTTGCAAAACTGAGTTGATCCCATCTCTACAAATTCCCATATCCAAGAGGAAAATAGGTTACAGGTGGTGTTGGTGATGCTGACGGGGTGTATCATTTTAAGAAATACACATTCCCTAGAGGGAACATGGTTTTTACTCTTACTTGTTACATTTACAGCATTTGGCAGATGCACTTAGCCAGAGCGACTTACATAAGTGCTTAGAAGTCTCATCTGTGAATACATTCTGATGCTGGTTCAATAGAACCCAGCTAAGAATACTTAAAAAAAAAGTATAATCCTGGATGTACTTATCCAAGTGGTTCAGAAACATGTAGGTTTGTAAGAGTCTAGGTGCATGTCTTATGTCTGCTCCTTGAGAGATGGTGGGACCAGTCGAGCGATACTGCAGGATCGGAGAGAGTGTGGTGCAGTGTGGGGTGAGAAAAGTTGTTTTAGGTTTTGTGATTGAAACCTGTGGATTTCATCTCTTTGTGAATGACGGGATCTGCACATAGTTCTGCCGTTTTGTACCCCTTTCAATGTTTGTAGTGGTATGTGGACGACTGATTTGAAAATAAAGTGTACTCTGACTCTAGTGTTTCCTTTTGAGAGTGCATGTCATTCTATATATTAGCCTAAATAGGTTTGTAGTCATTCACAGTGAACATAATAAAGTTAATTACTGGTACCAGTTGAAATTATGTTATTAGAAAGTTTTGTATTGGGTATGTCACCCATTGATTCAGTCTTTGCTATTGGCAGCACTGGATCTTTTTTCTTTGGAGCTGTCTAGGTTCATTGACTCTTGTACCAAAAAAGGGGAATATGCTCTTGTAGCTTATTACTCTGCCAGTGCATAGTGCAGGTTTCAGACCATCTCATCTCCAACACTTTTTCAGCCCTTCAGGCTCCTTCTCTTGGTTTTCTGGGGTTTTCTAACCCAGCCTTGGGTACAGTTGAGATCTTGTTTGGACAGGAATATGCCCCTGAAAAGCCACACCCTCCAACCCATCCCCACTGACAATCCACACCTCTGACCTTACTCCCTCGACTGACCTTTGGTCCTGAGTAGGGATGGACATTTCTCTGTTCTACTTTTGCATTGCTCAGTAAATTCACTTCAGGGTCATTCCATGTCAAATCATCACACTTTCGGACCTCATTGTCACGGATTTGAATGAAATTTGGCATGCTGATTTGGTCACATGAGTAACTCATGAAACTGAAATTGGGATCAATATTGAGGGAGATTTAAGCATGCTTCAGATACACACTTCAGATAAGTAACGATATCTCAGCAACAACTCAAAAACCAAAGACCAAATTTTCTGAAGCTCAGTCTCAACTCTCCATTGCTGGGCATAGTTTCTTCAACACATCCTAGCCACCAATTATCATCATATGCAGCCACAACATAACCTTTGATGCTTGCAAAGTCGAGTGATTCGCTAAGTGTGCACTTACACTGGACTGATTTGTACACCTCACTCACCTCTGATGAATGCAGGGCATTTATTAGCCATATTTACTAGCCATGTGGGCCTTTTCAGTAGTATGGCAAGTACAGGTGTCTGCAATGACATTAATGAAGCTTCCATTAAATTTCATTGTAGCATATTTGTAACATTAATTAGTGTTATTACTTACACCTCTGCTTGTCAGGTTGGCTGCCATTAAAAAGGCCCATTAGTGATATGAAGCCATGTGACGTTGCCTTTAAGTCAAGATATCTTAGCAACCAGTAAAAACTGATTAATTTTGAAATATAGGTTTTTTTGTTATTCAGTTTTTAATATTTGAATCAGTTATTACATAGTAATTATTCAAATGGGGATGGCATATTATTTGTTCAATCTATAGAGCTGGACAATAGCTTTAAAACAATAAAGGGACCAATTCTGTGCAGCTTACTTTATGCTAAATATAGGTAGTCAAAGTCATAGCCCCCCCCCCCCAACAAAAAGTTAAAACTTTGTTTGCTTAAATCTCCCTCAATATTGATCCCAGACACGCCAACTTTCAGTTTCAGTGAGTTACTCATGTGACCAAATCAGCATGCCAAGTTTCGTTAAAATCTGTGACGACGAGGTCCTAAAGTGTGATGATTTGACATGGAATGACCCTTCATTCAGGGTGATACATAGTGGAAAAACTGGAACCTGCTGTTTGTTTTCATACCTGCTGATGGACATAATCATTAGCTTTGCCTGGTCATTCACGGCCCCAGCATTTGTATTCGGTGCATCTGTCTATGAGCATCTGTGTGTGTGTGTGTGTGTGTGTGTGTGTATTTATATACATACATACATACATACACACACACACACACACACACACACACACACATATATATATATATATATACTGTATATATATATAGACACACATACATATATAGAGAGCATCTGGTCTGAACACTGCTGGGGATAGAAGACTTCACACTTCCCTTTTGCACTTCACATGGTTTCACACTCCCCTTTGCATTTTCTTCACGTGGTGCAGCCAAGATCCAGACAGAGTGTTTAGTATGCTGTGTGCAACTGTGCTTTTCCTGCTGCTTGGAAGAGAAAAGGCTGAGCACGGAGCAGAGGACAGATCACTGAAGGGACACGGTTTCGTAGGCACCCACCACTG